AATCGGTTGGGGGAGTTTTCCTCACTCTTGGCTGAACTCATGGACTCATGATAACTGTTTTACTTCTATCATTACAAGATGGGAGAAAAAGGATAGGAGATAAACCATTGTTTTACCTATAAGACTGATATACAAAGAATTGGTCATTAAAGAAGAACTGTGCAGGATACAGAATAAACACATTTCTTCAACATGCTAAGTTGCTAGATTTGTTAGGGTTAGGCTAAACAAGCAGGCCAAAGAATGCCAAAGAATGTTCAAACTACCATATCATTGCACTCATTTCACATGCTAGCAAAGTTATGCTCAAAATCCTGCAAGCTAGGCTCCAGCAGTATGTGGACTGAGAACTACCAGAAATACAGGCAGGATTTCAAAGAGGCAGAGGAACTAGAGATCAAATTGCCAACATACGCTGGATCATGGAAAAAGCTAGGGAGTTCCAGAAAAACTTCTACTTCTGTTTCATTAACTATGCTAAAGCCTTTGATTGTGTGGATCACAACCAATTGTGGCAAGTTCTAAAAGAGATGGGAGTACCGGACCATCTTATTTGCCTTTTTTTATATGCAGATCAAGAAGCAACAGTGAGAACTGGACACTGTGGACCACTGATTGGTTTAAAATTGAGAAAGGAGTTCGGCAAGGCTGTATACTGTCGTCCTGCCTATTTGAATTATATGCAGAGCACATCATGAGAAAGGTGGGGCTAGATGAATCCCAAGTTGGAATTAAGATTGCCAGGAGAAATATCAACAACCTCAAATATGCACATGATGCCACTCTAATGGCAGAAAGTGAAGAGGAACTATAGAGCCTCTTGATGCGGATGAACTGCAAGGCAATCAAACCAGTCAGTCCCAGAGGAGATCAACCCTGACTGCTCTTTAGAAAGACAGATCCTGAAGATGAAACTCAAATACTTTGGTCACCTAATGAGAAGGAAGGACTCACTAGAGAAGAGCCTAATGCTAGGAATTATTGAGGGCAAAAGAAGAACGGGACGACAGAGAATGAGGTGGCTGGATGGAATCACTGAAGCAGTTGGCATGAGCTTAAATGGACTCTGGGAGATGGCAGAGGACAGGAAGGCCTGGAGGAACATTGCCCATGGGGTCACAATGGGTCGGGCACAACTTTGTGACTAACAACAAACAGGCTGGGTTTCTGCAGTTAAAAAAAGAATCAACTTTAGTATGGTGTGCAAACTCAAACAATTGTGGTTTAGTTATTGTTTAAGATAACATGGTTTAGTATGGTGTTGATATCCAGTTACTGGGGCTTTTTGACTAACCAGCATCCAGTTTCAACCTCTGCAGGAGTTGCCTACAATTTAATTTCTCCAACAGCTCTGGATAAAGCACGGTTTCTGTTTTGCCCTGTGACCCTATTCAGTTTGTCTTCCAAGCCTTCAATGCACATGCGTAGATGCTAAATATTAGTGCGCTGTGATAGTTTCCTTTCTTGTCCTCAATCTCAGCCTAGAAACCAGTCTTCCCCATCCTGACATTCTCCAGATGTGCTGGATTGTAGCTACTATCAACCCGGCCGTTGGCTACGCTGGTTGGAAGTAGTGTGCCTTGTAATCAAAGACAGCGGGAGGATGGCAGGTTTGAGGAAACCTGCCATAACTACTTATCAAGAGAGCAAATGTGGCTGAGTCATTGCTGTGCTGTAAGTAACTAGATCTGGATTAGATTATTTTTTTAAAAAAAGATTCTCAGCAATTGTTGCTCTATAACTGTTAGCCTCAGTTAACTAATACTCTTTCCAGGACAGGCTAAGTAAAAAATGTCTTCTCTGTCTGAAGGAGGAGACTTTCTGGCAACATGTAATATAAATCTAGTTTGATGAAAAGTAGGACTAGGGGTGACATTCTCCAAAGCACCTGAGGGCAGGACAAGAAGCAATGGGTGGAAACTAATCCAGGAGAGAAGCAACTTAGAACTAAGGAGAAATTTCCTTACAGTTAGAACAATTAATCAGTGGAACAACATGCCTCCAGGAGTTGTGAATGCTCCAATCCTGCAAGTTTTTAAGAGGAGATTGGATACTCATTTGTCTGAAGTGGTGCAGGGTTTCCTGCCTAAGCAGGGGGTTGGTCTAGAAGATCTCCAAGGTCCCTTCCAAATCTGCTATTCTATTCCTATTCCTATTTTATTCTATTCTACTCTATTCAGTGGTGGTGGCAAATATGGAGCACTCTTTTATGTGAGAAAGGGCCTACCCTTTTTGTCCCTGTGGGGTGTCAGAACAATTTCTCTGTGTAAGTGTCAATGGAGATTCTCAGTCACCCAGATCATGGTGGTCCCAAAGGTGCTTTTTCAAAAGACAACTGGACTTTGTTGTTCCTTAAAGAAGTTTCACTTCTCATTAAAAAAAACTTCTTTTTATCCATCCACCACCATTTAGTCAGAACTGAAGAAGCTCCTTGTATGAGAAGTGAAACATCTTCAGTGAAAAACAAAATCCAGTTGCCTTTTGAAAAAGCACCTTTGGGATTCTCTGCATAAGCTTCCTGTGCTCTGCTAGCAGGGGTGGGATACTACCGGTTCTACCTGGCTCTATAGAACGGGTAGCTCTGAAGAGCAGCAGACACCAAACCGGTTCGGTGTCTGCTGCTGTTTGGCCCACCCACCCGCCTGGGCTCTTACCTGTCCTTTATTTCCTGCTTTTTCAACCTCAGCTGCTTTGCATGGCACAGCTGAGGTTGAAAAAGCAGGAAAAAATCATATGCTGTACACCTGCGTGCAGCGCTTTTCAGCTGTCCCCGTGGCACAACTTAAGGTTTTTTACATCCGCACAAAACATAGTCAACAAACTGGTAGTATCACCAGTTGAATCCCACCCCTGCCTGGTAGCCCTGTCTTATCACTGACACCACAGTGTTATTCTTTGGCTACATTCAGATGTGTTTCCAACCCCAAATAACATCTTCCTCTAGTCTGTTTTAGCAGTTCCAGAAATTGGCTTTTCTTATTTATAGAATGTGGAGTGTCAGTGGTTCTGCAAGTTACATTTATAATTTGATGAATGCCTCTGGTTTTATGCTTAGACAAATGCATTTTGCATATGCTTGGAATCATATATTTACTTCATATTTGCTGCAGCTGGACTGAGCACCAGAAAAATATTGTGAGCCTGAATTTGTATAATGCTGAGTCTAGTGAAAACCCTGTGTTTAGTCAATCCAGTTTCTATCAATAATTACATTTTCTGCTGACTATTCCTTCTATTTTTTCCCTTCCCCATAAAATCTGCATCCATATGTTTGTGTGAAGGCTACTGAAACTGGGCTAGAAACATCTGAAAAAGATGGAGTGGCAAAAAGAATTAAAGCATCCGTTTGTTACATCTAGTGGTCATCTGAATATTTGCAGCCTGGCTGTGGTAGTTCTAATGCGTGCCTGCACATCTAAACACACACTAATTGTTCTTTGGCCATAAAAGCTGCTTCTGCCATTGCGGCATTCTCTTGGCTGAAAGAGGTCAGCCCATTGTTTGAATCCCAAGGCAAAATATGCTGCATTTAAACACAAACACAAGTGTTTATTTAAGGGGAAAGAAGCCATAATGGCACAGTGTCATCAAGAAACAGGAGGGGCTGGAGAACATGTGGTAACAAGCGAGTTAGGCTCTGCCATGCAATGTGCACAGGTGGCTAGAAGAAATTAAAGTTTTATGGGAAGGAACAACCAATGAAATAGCTTGCCTTCAGATGTTGTGGATGCTCCATCACTGGAGGCTTTCAAAGAGAGACTGGAAAACCATTTGTCTGATAGGGCCTCCTGCTTGAGCAGGGAATTGGACAAGAGCAGGGGTCTCCAACCTTGGCAACTTTAAGACTTGTGGACTTCAACTCCCAGAATTCTGGGAGTTGAAGTCCACAAGTCTTAAAGTTGCCAAAATTGGAGACCCCTGGACTAGAAGACTTCTGAGGTCCCTATTATTCTATGTTCTAACTAATGCTAGTCCTTGGAGTTGAATAACAAGACAGGTGCTGGATTCATGTATGCTTATATTTACCTTTGGAGGTATGTTTAAATAATCATACATTTACAAGAAATTCAAACTGCATTTATGCCATCTGCATTTCTGCCATTATGCAGGTGACTTTGGTAACAGTTTTATATTAGTTTTGAATGATGAGATTACATGCATAAATATGTGTGCATGTGTTTATAAAATCAATTATTTGTCTTAATCCTATTGAACTCATGAGCTATGTTTGCACAAGAGTTTAAGTTAATAATCTAGTGGCATTTATAAGACTTAATAAACTTGCTTCGTTTTCATTTTGGTTGCGGTATTTTATTTACTTGTCAAATGTATATAGCTGCTCATTTCGCATACAGGTGACTCGGGGCAGCATACAACAAAATCAGATTATTATTGTTTTGTTGTGTTCTGTTTAGTGGTTTAGCCTGTTGAGTGAATCAGACCCATTTGATTCATTTAACTTATGAGGCTGGGTGTAGCCAGGAAAGAGTAAATAGCACAACACAACACATGTAAAACAGAGCAGACTTCTACTGAAGGTTGTGAGCCACCATGAATCTGCAATTTGGCAGTTCAACTCTCACCAGGCTCAAGACTGATTCAGCCTTCCATCCTTCCAAAGTGAGTAAAATGAGGACCCAGAGTGTTGGGGTCAAGATGCTGACTATGTAAACCGCTTAGAGAGGGCTGTAAAGCACTATGAAGCGGTATATAAGTGCTATTGCTATTGCTTTCTTGACTTCTGGTCCTTTGATCATTTGGTTGTAATCACTGTCTTGGCTTTTTTGCCTCCTCCCTGTCAACATCCATGAACAAGGAAGAGGTGGGGGGGAAAAAACAACAGACAGGAAAGGGGGAGGGAGGCTGGCTTTATCCCAAAACTGCTTAATCTTTTGGTTGGCCACTGAGATGAAGTTAATGAACATGACTAGACTGGGTTCCATCCATGCTTTCCATGCAATCCAAAAACCACTTTCCTCTCTCTCTTATTTTACTGATAGGGGTTCCAGGTGCTGGAGCTGGAATTCCAGGAGCAGGGTTCTACCCAGGTAAGAATTAGCACCATCCCAACTAAGTGTTAGAGATGCCATAATTGTGCAACACTGGTGATGCCTTGTGTGTGCCTGCTCACAATACCAATTTCAATCAAACTCAAACATTGAGCTTGAAAAGAAGCAGCCAGGAGAAGACCCTTATTAATTCATTTGCTTATTTATTTTGCATAATGACATTATTTGGGGAAGGTGAGAATGGAATATTCAGAGTTTTCTTCTTCTCTGTGAATGGGGAAAACATTAATTTACACGAGTACCTTATACCTATAACATGAGTAACACAACTATTTTTCTTAGTTTTACACTACAAGAAACAGGATGGGAACTTTAGAATAGTATATTTCTACATGTTGCAGCAGATGCCAGAACAAATAATAATATCTCAGGCATTTTCCGATATTATGAAAAAATATATCACATAGTTCAGTGTGGGGACTGGTGTTTCAGAGTGTGCTGTCTGTCCTCTTGATCAGTGAAAGCTTTGACAGCTTTCTGATGTGTAGTCTTCAGCTCCCAGATTTCTTGAGCCAGCATCACTGGCTAGGCAATTCTGGGAGTTGAAGTCCATATGTGTAATATTTCAAGGATGCCTTTTTCCATATCTACCTTAGAATATAGGGGATATTCCCTAGATAGATCTTCACCTTGCACCAAATATGCATTTATAAAATAGGTTCCTAACAATGTTGGTATTTCATATAGGGTCAAAGTAGGGAATCTGGCTGAGGAATTCTGGGAGTGTTGAAGTCCACAAGTCTTAAGTTGCCAAGTTTGGGGACCCCTCCAGACAGATTCTGCCTTCTTATTTCTTCACTTAGGAGAGTTTGAAAAGATCATTAGGGAAAAATTTTAAAAATGTAAATCACTGTGTATCTTATCTTGCTTTCATTGGCAATTTGTTGCCCTTATCATTTTATTCAAAAACCATCTGCAAGCTCATTTCCTTCCTTGCCTTAGTTATTACCCTATTGTGCTATTTCTTTTCTTCACAAAATTAGGGATGTCATTAGTGGCTAAATGAATCTTTGTATGCCCATTTGTTTAAAAAAAAACATTTTTCAGAGTGCTTTGTCAAATTCCTTTAAAGTGCATAATACAGATATGAACATACTTGGCTCAGAACTCCTAGGTACTTGAGGAGGGGGGGACAACTAATATAATATCATGGTTGGGGCTAGTGTTTTATATGCTTTATTGAAATGACTAAGAATTGTTTAAAATCCTTGCTTTCTGCAGGAACAGCTGGCAACGGAGGACTTGGCAGCATAGGTAAGCCCCTAATGGATTAGAACAAGATTCCTTGTTGATTTGCTTACAAAGTAATAATTATTTTGAAAAATAATACATACAGTGGAGCAAATGAGCATCTCTTCTTCCTCCCTGATAATCAGTGGTGGCATTCAAAAAATTTACTACCGGTTCTGTGGGCGTGGCTTGGTGTGTATGGCAGGGGAAGGATCCTGTCAAATCTCCATTCCCACCCCACCCCACTAACCTGCTTTCCAGCTCGGTTCTCCTGTGCAGGGCAACCAAAGAAGACCCAGCCAATCAGCTGGGAGTCACTGGGAGGCAGAGAATAGATGGGGGCGGGGCCAGCCAGAGGTGGGATTTGCCGGTTCTCTGAACTACTTAAATTTTCCACTACCGGTTCTCCAGAACTGGTCAGAACCTGCTGAATACCACCTGTAAGTGAAATTGCCAGATTCCTTTGTGTACAGTGCTGTAACCACAAGGGAGGTGAGAGAGAAGGCAAATCGGGGCAGAAAAGTGGTTTTGGCTTTTTTTTTTTTTTTCATTTTGAACTTGGCAGTCACAAAGAGCGTTGCAGACATTTTTTAAGTTGGCTTTTGAAGAAATGGTGGATGGAAATAAAATATTATAGAAATACTCCCAGGCAAGGTTTCCCAGCCTAATCTGTTTTCCAGAACTGCAGGTGGTCTCTAGAATAGACAGACATTTTTTTTAAAAAAGGAATTGTATCCATGTGTTGCATGTGCACGCACATGTTTATGTGCCGGAGAAAAAAGTTTGTCACTGGGGTAACTGCTGCTATCCCAGGATTTCTTCTGCTGCACTGCTGAGTTAAGGCCAGCAGAGATATTTTTCTCACACAAGGGCTATCCTTATTAGGCTGTGGCTTTCCAAAGGGGTGTACATCCTGAGGAACCTGCCATAAAGGCCTTCATGAAGGGGCATGAGAGCATTGCCTGCTCAGCTTTATACAAACAGAAGACCACACTTGCAATCATGCATCCTTTTCTTTCTTCTACTCTTTCTTCTAAACTGACATTACAAAGTGAACATCTGCCTAATTCACCCACAAGTGTCACATTTCTGGGTACACAATTTATCTGGAAAAATGGCTTCTTTTTTGATGTTCTTCCACAGGAACTGGCTTTGGAGCTGGACTTGGAGGAGCAGGTGAGTCATTGTCTCAACTAACTAGACTTCACTTCAACCTCACAGGTTGCTCAACCTGCATCTAGCCAACTGTAGCTGAACCCAAATAGCTAAGCAAAAATCAACAGGGCTCTGGCTTAGATCAGGAAGTTGAAAACTCATTCTAAAAAAAGGCAAAAGCAAATTAATTCCATACTGTTGCAAGAAAAGACACAGATATGAATTCAACAGGAGTCAAACCCACTATGAAATAAATTTTTACCTATCTTCACCTGCCTTATTATTACCTTTATTGTCAGAGTACAGCATGTGTACAATGAGATTGGCTGAGACTCCCTTCATGCAACCCCCCCGCCCCAACACAACTCACAGTGAGGACAGAAGTCCCTAACCCAGTCCCAATCTTATTACACTATGTGACCTTGTTGCAAAATGCATCAGCCCTGCAAGTCTATCATACTATGTTGACATGAAGTTATTTTCCGTTCAGAAGTCTGACAGCCCATGGGTAGAAAGTGTTCTTCAGCCTGTTGGTGCGGCTGGCTATGCTTCTATATCTCCTACCCGATGGTAGGAGAGTGAAGAAGTGCTGACCAGGATATGAGTCGTCCCTGAGAATTTTCCTCACTCTTTTGTGGCAGCGAGCCCTAGCGATGTCATCTCGTGGTATCAGGGAACAGCCCACGATTTTTAGTGCTGTGCTCACCACCCTCTGTAATGTGTTTCTATCCGTGGCTGTCAAGCCAGCATACCACACCGTAGTGCAATATGTGAGGACGCTTTCTATTGTGGACCGATAAAAGGGGGTCATCAGCTGTTGTTCCACTTTACTCTTTCGCAAGACCCTAAGGAAATGGAGTCTCTGTTGGGCCTTTCTGGCCACCTGGGTTGTGCTGGTTTTCCTGGTAAGATCTTCACTGAGGTAGACTCCCAAGAATTTAAAGGAGGAAAGTCTCTCCACACACACAATCTGTAAGTGTATTGTGATTACAACTTCCAGAATTCCCAGCTTCTGTGAATTCCAGTAGGGGTCTTCTCCTATCAGAAGAACAATATTATAGTGATATAACACAAAGAGCATATAATATACTGCATACAGTATATTCTGTATATGTACTTATGCATTATATTGTATTATATTACCTATACCTGTGATGGCAAACCTATGGCACGTGTGCCACAAGTGGTACGCAGAGCCATTAGTGCTGGCATGCAAGCCTCAGGCAAACTTACCTCGCTGCACATGCGCATGCCTCATAGCTGATTTTTTTGGTTGGTTTGAGGCCTTTTTCTCCCAAAGGCTTGGAAAAAGCCCCTGCAGGGCTTTTCAGGTCGAATTATAGGCCCATTTTGTCACTTCCTGTAAAACCGGCCAAAATCAGCTGAAAAATCAGCTGTGAGGCGCAGTGCAGGTAAGGGGGTGGCTGGGGTGGATTATGTGCACATGCGCAGGGGGCATGGGGAGGGGGGTTGCATTGCATTCTGGGTGCTGGCATGCAAGTGTGCACATGCTGGTGTGCGTGCAATTTTTGGCACAGGAGCCCCAAAAGATTACCCACCACTGACCTATACGGTCCCCATATCCTTTAAATGGTATGTCATAGGGCAAAATGTTTTCCACCAAAAGTACCTCAAATAGCTAACAGAAAGTGTCCAGGTCTTGGGACCCATGACTGCCATGGAAATGAAATTTGGACAAATTTTATAAAACATGACATAAAAATTATAAAAAAAAATATAATACAAAAGGTCATGAAACATATTCTGTGCTCAGCTGCCGATGTATGACTGAGCTATACAGTTCAACATGGGCTACTTTCAAGGCAGATACATCTCCCTGAATTTTTAACAACTTTTCAAGTACATTAGAACAGCGGTCGCCAACTGGTGGGCCGCGGCCTACTGGTGGGCCTCTAGAAAATTTTGGTGGGCCGCAGAGAAAGCTCACCCCCAGAGCACCCCCCCAAAGCAATTAATCCAGGCTCCACAGAAACACAAAGTCTGCACTGCCCACATGGCCCGCAGGAACCCTTCCCGCCTTACCCAGCAAACTTGCCTTCTAAATTGCTGTTTTTCCTTTTTCTGAGCATCATCTGTTTTGCTGTGCCAGGAGATTTAGATTAGCTAGGAAGCAGGAAATGGTTGGATTTCTTGCTTTCTAGCTAGTCTTTAGATTTCGGCTCTGCTTTTAAGCACAGCTGAACCTCCCTTAGGACTGAAGGTTCTATTATTCAGTGCAGACTCACAGCAAGCAAATTTAATGTGACAGACTGAGCTAGCCGATGGCAGATAGATAGATCACTGAATGATTCTGTGAGCAACTCAATCTGCTTGCCTGCTTTGCCTGATTTTGGGTAAAAGTTGCTCTTTTTTTATAAAAAAAAAATCAATATTCATATAAATATTTATAATATTTACGTACAAGCTATGCCCAGCCAGTCACATGACCACCAAGCCACACCCACAAATTAAGCCACACCCACAGAACTAGTTAGTGGTCGCTGAGATTTAAAATTATGAGTTTGGTGGTCCCTGAGGTCCAAAAGGTTGGCGACCCCTGCATTAGAAGCTTTGCCATCATTGAAGGCATTGAGGAATCTGATAAGGAAATATTTCTGAAACGATGGGTTTAGTCAGTAAGCCACAGTTAAATAACCCATAGCTTAGATAGAGTCTCAACTCAACTGGGGTTTCCCAGTTAACAATTGACACACACAACTGTTCCCATCAAAAAGGAATGGTGCATTTCTTTTTTATAGGTGGCCTATATCCAGGAGGTGCCTATCCTGCTGGATCTGCTGCTGCAGCCTATAAAGCCGCCGCTAAAGCTGGTGAGTCGAAGTTGCTGTTCCCCGTTGACTTTATGTTCAGTATTCTGATTCCATTTCATCTTGCCATAGATCGGACTTGGACAAAAATCATGGATGAAGTCATGATTTTCAATTCCTCTTTGCCTTTACTGGCTTTTTTGGTATTTGATGCCAAGTCCTATATCATTCTCTTGATAGATAGATAGATAGATAGATAGATAGATAGATAGATAGATATAGATATGTGTAGATGTATGTGTGTGTGTGTATGTGTATAATAAATTTTTCTTGAGTAGACATAAAAACTCAATATCTATATGAACAGCATGTTGTCTGAGTAGTTTTTAGAACAAAAAAAAGATAATAATAATATACAGTATATATCATTAATAATAATCACATAGTAATAATAATATTAACATATCCATACCAGTAAACCTTCCTTATATAATTAATCATTTTCTTAATCTTTTTAGTTTCTAACCTCTGTTTTTGTTATTTAGCCATTGGTAAAACAAGTCCCATGTTAAAAAGTATTCTGTTTCTTCCTTCTCCTTTATTTTGAGTGTTAATCTGTCTATCTCTGCGCATTCTAATATTTTTTATAATACTTACATCTGTAGGGATCTCTTCATTTTCTCACTGTTGTGCAAAAAAAACTTCTTGCTGCTGTTAACATGTGTAAAATTAGATCTATATTCCCTTTATTATATTCCCTTTATGTTCACTTTATTATATTGTTCTGGTAGAATACCCAACAAAAATATTTCTGGTTTTAAATCAATATATTGTTTTATCATTTTTTCTAACCATGTATGTGTCATTCTCTTGTTCTTATAAGGCCATCTCTTTACCTGCCTTTTCCCCATCTTGGCATATAGATGGTAACTAACTCTTAGTGATTCCTGATATAATTAATCCTTAATTTATGAACAGTCGCTTAGCAACTGGTTAAAGTTGCAACAGACCCCACACCCACACCCTCAAAGGTATTTACAACTTGATTCCAAACTTCCCCCTTGTGATCACATAAACACCTTTTGGGTGCTTGGCAACTGGCCTGCGCTTATAGCCACTTGCCAAATCTTGTGGTCATATGACCAGGATTATGACAATTTTGTGAAAAACCAGACTTTATTTGCAGTTTTCAGCCAAAATGCTCCTGGGGGACCAATGAGTTTGCTTAACATTCGTGGCATTTACTTAGCAACTGCCTCGAAAGTGGTTGTAAAATTGGCTCCGTTCATATGATGACCCACTTTATGAATGTCATGAATTGTATTGGGCAGGCTCCATTGTAGTCATAAGTCAAGGACTACCTGTACAGAAGTCATTGCATTGTGTTTCCTGCCCTTAGAGGAGCCATCCTATGATTACTCCCTATGAATGGTACTGTCCCCCTTCTCCTCTTCCTCTTCCTCCTCCCTCTCCCTCTTCCTCTTGCCTCTTCCTCTGCTTCTGCTTCTTCAGATGATCATTTGTAATTAAAAAAAAACCCTAATCCAAAACAAGAAAAAAAGAAAAAATAGAAGATGCAGTAAAGGAAAAACTTGAAAGAAAAATAGAAAGGAAGGAAAAATTAGAATATAATTAAAAGAAAAAATATATAAAGAAGAGACTTCCCCCTTCATTATAACATGTATAAACAATTATAATAACTTATCACCTTCTCTTAAAATACAAGAAATGATCTTTTCTTCCCATATCCCACCTCATTATTTCATTTCTGATGTTAGCAAAATTCCATTAAAGGTTAACAGAGATACAGCATTTTAGCCTTGATGAAATAAACCAATTTTATATTCCCCCCTTTTACTTCTAACAATCTTTATTATTTAATTCCTTCAAATAATGCCCTAGAACTTGATTTTTCATTTTCCTTTATCCCTTCTCACAAAACTCTTCTTTGTTTTTGTGTGAGCGGGCATCCGTGAAAAGAGTACTCCTGTGGGAGCAGCAAATTTTATTTTCTGTCATCCTAAATAAATTTTTTATCTTATTTATATTTTATTTATTTATATTTCCTATTTCTAAACCATATCACTCCTCTTAGATATAAGATGTCTAGGTATAAGGGAATCATTAACCTCATCCCAACACCAACCTAGTCCTCAAACCTCAATAAGTATGTGTTTTATCATCTTCAGGACTTGGTGTACCTGGAGCTGGCTTTGGTGGACTACCTGGAGGTGGAGTAGGCGGACTACCTGGAGGCGGCATAGGTGGACTACCTGGAGGTGGTGTGGGCGGACTACCTGGAGGTGGTGTAGGCGGACTACCTGGAGGTGGTGTGGGCGGACTACCTGGAGGCGGCATAGGTGGACTACCTGGAGGTGGTGTGGGCGGATTACCTGGTAGGTCTATTAATATGGAGTAATTATATTATCAGCCTTTCTGCACCCAAAAATTCTTAGCTCTGAATAAGAATGGTTGTTCAATAAGTCCAATGTCAACTTCTTCCAATCACATGATTCAAACTAGGAGAAAGTTGGAGGGACAGTCTCTTGACCTTGCTTATCAAATTACAGAAGCAGTTTATGGTGTGGTAGAAAAAATGAAACAAAACTTCTCCATTATAGCTTCATTCTCCCACGTACAGTACTTGTCTTGGTCATGGACAAGGACAGCAACTGGTGTTGGGTGCATGATGATACCATTGTGGAAATGCTGTAATATAAAATATCTACTTGCATTATTTTGGGTCATTGTGCAATCATGGCATTGTGGTGCTTTGCACCCGATGCCTTTGTAAATTTGGTGGCTGAATTTTCCATTTTTTTATTTTGTGGGGAAAATGGCCATTTAAATAAAGAACCTTTCCACAATAGAACAATATATTAAGTTATATTCTTGATTCTTGACAAATGTGTCTTTTCTTTTATGTACACTGAAAGCATTTGCACCAAGACAAATTCCTTGTGTGTCCAATCACACTTGACCAATAAAGAATTCTATTCTATAAACTAATCAAAAGGGCTGGGTTCACAAAACACACTAAATCACCAAAGAACTTATGAAAATAGACACTATCTAAGCTGCCATTAGAGCTCAAAGTGACTTGGTTAAGCATGTTATTTGAAGCTAGCTTTTATGTGTAAATAATCATGATACCCTAGAAAAGCCACCTATCTCCAATTACTTCTTTTAAAAGAAGTATTGTAATTGGAGATGGGTGGCTTTTCTATGGTATCAATTGGATTGATGTTAAGTGCCAACTCCTCTGAAATTTCTCATCTTCCAGTGGAGCAAATAGACAGAAGACATATGGCAAGCATCACTAACTTGATGGTGTTAATGTGCCATTTTTAGAGAGCTTTTATTAAAAAAACCATTTCAGAAAACTAATAATCAGTGATTACAGATGAGGCCATGATGATGGCAATCTTATCATGTTCCTGAATTCTTCCCGTGCATCTCAGTCTACCAACCTTTTATTTGCTCAGTTGGGAAGAGAATGGTTGTGGTTTTATAACATGTTTTGTTTCGAATTCACAGAATACTCAGAATCGTAAACAAGCTAAATTCACACAACCAAGGTTAATGCTCAACCAACAAATGCAAACCTGATAGTCACAAGGATTGTAGGTTTCATCTCTTGTTCCTCCTGGCAGATGACCAAACACAAAGTTGTTTAATACAGGGGTCTCCAACCTTGGCAAC